AACACACACACACACACACACACACACACACACTCTCTCTCTCTCTCTCTCTCTCTCTCTCTCTCTCTCACTCACACACACTCTCACACACACTCACTCTCACTCTCACACTCTCTCACACACATCACACACGTCACACACACACGTCTCACACGTCACACACACACACGTCTCACACACGTCACACTCACTCAAACACACACTCACTCTCACACTCTCTCACACACACACACACACACACACACTCTCTCTCTCTCTCTCTCTCTCTCTCTCTCTCTCTCTCTCTCTCTCTCTCTCTCTCTCTCTCTCTCTCTCTCTCTCTCTCTCTCTCTCTCTCTCTCTCTCTCTCTCTCTCTCTCTCTCTCTCTCTCTCTCTCTCTCTCTCTCTCTCTCTCTCTCTCTCTCTCTCTCTCTCTCTCTCTCTCTCTCTCTCTCTCTCTCTCTCTCTCTCTCTCTCTCTCTCTCTCTCTCTCTCTCTCTCTCTCTCTCTCTCTCTCTCTCTCTCTCTCTCTCTCTCTCTCTCTCTCTCTCTCTCTCTCTCTCTCTCTCTCTCTCTCTCTCTCTCTCTCACACACACACACACACACACACACACTCACACTCTCTCTCTCACACACACTCACTCTCACTCTCACGTCTCACACACACGTCTCAGACACACGTCACACTCAAACACACACTCACTCACACACACACTCTCTCTCTCTCTCTCTCTCTCTTTATTCTTTGCATTTATTTATGGTTAGCGCAGAAGAAACTTTACCAGCAGCTGTTGTTTGTGCCAATCTAAGCCCACAGTGGAGCGAGTTCACAAGTGTCTGTATACATAGAGAGGTGTGAGATTCTAGATTTGGAGTCGAACGGCAGCCCCCTCATTGTTTTTACATGCCACCCACTCATCTGCTTGTGTAATCCCTGGAGCTAATGTGGGAGGCAGTCCTGGCCAGAACATATACTCTTTCTCTTCCTGTCACACACACAAACATACACTTATACATACTTAAGGAGTTCAAAGATCAATATCCTCTCCAAATATCCAAAAAACGTGGAATTAGCTATGAAAATCATATTTTCTTAGTACTGAAAATGTCAACAAAATAAACAAACTCAATCAGTGCTGGTTTCAGAGCACTCACAGTAATGGAGCTCATGGTGTGATCTACTAGACTGAAATAAAGGTACACTATTGTATCCTGCTGAGAGGACTTCCAACACATGGGCTGCTCATGTATAACACTGAAGGACGGATGCCCACGCACGCTGAGCAATACCACACACGCACACAGCACCACAACCACACACACTCACTCACACAAACACACACACACACACACACATTCAAGCACACACACACACACTCTCACACTCTCTCTCTCACACACACACACACTCTCTCTCACACACACACTCTCTCTCACACACACACACGTCACACACACACACACACACACACACACGTCACACACACACACGCACACACACAGACACACACAAACACAGACGTGTGTGTCACATCAGAGTTCAGCTCTGAGCATCAGATCCACATTCAGACACACGTCACACGACTGATGTTTTACCCTGAAGCATGACGCGTGGCTGATGATCTTCAGATCTTCCAGAATCATCCTCTCTGATCCAGCGATGGGTCTCCCACAGACCGTACAAACATCCCGGCTGCTGACCGTCCTGCACAAAACATCCGCTTACAGTACACTAGATAAAATAATAAAGTCCTGAACTTCATGAATGAGTGAATCTCTGACCTGCTGGACTCCAGTGTCTGCAGAGGCGAGCGCAGAGTCGGCGATGCAGCGGGAATCTCTGAATAAACAGTCTTGACTTGTGTTCTGATATAAAGAGAAAAGTTCACGTGTGCATCAACACAGTGTTGGGGGTAACGCAAGTTACGTAATCAGATTACTTTAAGTAACTAATAATCAGTGTTGGGGAAAGTTACTTTTAAAAGTAATGCGTTACAATATTGCGTTACTCCCTAAGAAGTAACCAATTACGTTACTTAGTTACTTTTTATGGAAAGTAATGCGTTACGTTACTTTTTAAATCTGGGCAGGGCTTGCTTGTTAGTTTGTAATATAAAAAAGCTCTTCTTTTACAAATGTAAAAGCGCTTTCACAGCAGAAGTGAACTGAATCCGGCTCAGGCTGAAGGAAATGTGAATTCTCGTCTGTACAGTAGCGTGCGCAGCTCAAACTAATCACAGCAGAAGAAAGTTCAGCACTATTCAGCAGCAACTCCAATTAAACACTAATGTGTCATTTCTGCTTATTAGTATGATTGAAGTGAATCATCGAAGATCAGTAGCAAACACATTGTTAATAAAATGGGATTCAATTCTTATTTAACGTATTTAATTATTGCAGGTTTGCATATACAATGTTTGTATTGATTGTGAGGAGCACTGAATGTGTTTGTGTGCAGTGAGATGAGTAAACACATGTTGATATTGAGTCTAGAGCTACAGTAAGATCATGTTCACACACAACACTCTGCACTCACTCCTGATTTCTGTCTCCATGGCAACACCAGAGCTGTCACTCAACACATGGAAACTAAGTAACTGCTGCTTCTGATTTCAAAAAGTAACTCTGATATTTCCTTCTTAATTTAAACAGTAATGCGTTACTTTACTAGTTACTTAAAAAGTAATCTGATTACGTTAATGCAAGATATCTGGGTTACATTTTGAAATCAGTAGCAGCAGTTACTTTGTTTCCATGCACTGAGTGACAGCTCTGGTGTTGCCATGGTGACAGAAATCAGGAGTCAGTGCTGAGACTCTTCCTTCAGCCTGAGGCTTATTAATTAAAAATGTTGGTGTGAAAGGACCCTTATAGTTGCCAAAATATAACTTTTGTGTTTTCTATTGGGTTATTAAAAAGAATTAAGCAAGCCCAGCCCAGCTGACAAAAAGTAACACAAAAGTAACAATGCATTACTTTGCATAAAAAGTAACTACACAATCAGTTACTTCTTTATGGAGTAACGCAATACTGTAATGCATTACTTTTAAAAGTAACTTTCCCCAAAACTGTCCTTGAACGAGTGAATCTCTGACCTGCTGGACTCCAGTGTCTGCAGAGGCGAGCGCAGAGTCGGTGATGCAGCGGGAATCTCTGAATAAACAGTCGTGACTTGTGTCCTGATATAAAGAGAAAAGTTCACGTGTGCATCAACATGATCTGATGATGAGTTATCATCATGTCTAGAGCTAGAGAGTGCTCAAACGATCTTACTGTGAGCGGACAGGTGGTGACTGAACGCTTCCAGACCGGGTCGGCAATAAAGTGTCAGCAAGATCGTCCAGCGGAGCGCTGATGGAAAACACATCATGAATGAGTGTCCTGAAGTTGTGCCGTAAACGAGAGTGAAGTATCTGACAGCGTTACCTGGGAGTCTGATAGCTGTAGCGTGTGTTCAGAGTCACAGCCGGTGGAGACGACGGAGAGCGAGCTGAAGAATAACTGATCTCACTGCATGTGAATGAACACGATCACATGTGTTAAAGTCAGCGTCAAATGTTTAATCCGTTTAATCAAAATATCATATCTGGATCTTGACAGACTTCTCTCAGGTGATCAGCTTCCATTTTTAAATGTGTGCACTTGAGAAGAAAAGATCAGGATGAGTTTGTTTCTTCATCAGGTTTGGAGAAATGTAGCACTGCATCAGTGTCTCAGCAATGGATGCTCTGCAGTGAATGGGTGCCGTCAGAATGAGAGTCCAAACAGCTGATAAAAACATCACAATAATCCACAGCACTCCAGTCCATCAGTGAACATCTGGAGAAGACAAAAGCTGAAACACATCCAGCATTAAGACGTTTTTAACTCAAATACATTGAGTTCATAATCCATAATAACGCTTCCTCCAGTGAGTCAGTGTTCTGGTGTGAATCAGGAGAGAAATCTGCACAGATCAAGCAGCGTTTAAACAGCTCTAAACACATATGTGGCTGGATTTTGATGCGAGAGACAACAGCAGATGCACTTCTTCACTGGAGGAAGTGTTATTATGGATTATGGACTCAATGTATTTGAGTTAAAAGCATCTTAATGCTGGATGTGTTTCAGCTTTTGTCTTCTCCAGATGTTAACTGATGGACTGGAGTGCTGTGGATTATTGTGATGTTTTTATCAGCTGTTTGGACTCTCATTCTGACGGCACCCATTCACTGCAGAGCATCCATTGCTGAGACACTGATGCAGTGCTACATTTCTACAAACCTGATGAAGAAACTCACTCATCCTGATCTCGGATGAACTGAGGGTGAGCACATTTTCAGCACGTTCATGTTTGGCTGCACTATTGCTGTGAACGGTTGAATCATGTTCTTCACGTGAGCTCGTACCTGAGCTTCAGGTCCACCGAGGGTTTCTCTGCAGGTTTTGGAGTCTCTTCCAGCATCGAGGAGGATGTTTTGGTGTTTGTGATGACGGTTCTGTTTCATGAACAGATGAATCAGAGATCATGGCACACATTCAGATGAGCGTCAGTGTGAAGTCACTTACTGAGCCGTCGGTGTTGAGGACGTGGACACCAGCGATGAGACGGACACGCTTTCACTCCTGAGAACAGACAGCAACATCAGGAGACAGATGATTATGTTGGGTATCAAGAACCGGGTATTCGATAAGACGTGTGCATTTCAATTCTGCTTAACGATTCCTGTGTTCGATTTAAGTAAACACAGCCGTTTTTGTCTTAAGTGAAGGTAAACATGAGAGAAATCGCAGTATTACAGTGTTTTTAGTTCTGCGAGCGTTCGGGGTTAAAGAGACAGCAGTCTAATAAACGCACTGCCTGTCATTAACACTAATCAAAGAACAACAGAAAATCATTCACCGATCTTGACTGAATATCTTTAATAACTGTAATTGATCTATATTTATGAAAAGAAAAGTTTTTAAACTTTTAATTCGTTTCTGTACTTGCAATTTGGTTCAGTTGTATGCATTTATGCCGTTTCTAATTGATTCGTTTGTTCCCGTTTTATTACTGACTGTTTACTTGTCTGTAACACGTTAATATTTGAAACGTATATTAGTCTAGTTGTGTTTGCGGTGGTATTTTTGTTGAAAGCATAGGCAAAAGTTCCTCTTGTAGGCCTGAGTGTTATTCAGCTGCAACAGAACGCTTTGTAAAAGACACAGAATAAATGTTTGACTTCATTTTTTGCTGAAAAACAACAACAGACACCATCACTGAAATCAAACTGAAAAAGTTGTAATGGTTTTACTGGTTTTAATGGAAACTGCTATGGGTTTCTGCTGGTCACGTCTATTGGTGGCTTGTTAAAACCAATAAATCCTAATGAAATATGTCCCAAAACACACTACAGAAAACCATTTTTAATGGTTTTAATGGTTAAAAGTTGATGGTTTGTAATGGTATTTGTAGTGGAAACCATTCGAATTTTCTGTGATGCTTCTATTGTTTTTTTCAGCAAATTATAAAATTCAAATGATACTCAACCCTACAGATGATGGAGACTGATGACGTCTGCTGATGAATCTCACCTGCTTGGGCTCTTCACGGCGGGCGGGATCACTGGACTCTTCACACCGCTGCGGAATCAATAAAAACATCTTCATCTGAAGCAGAACGTGAGGAGCTCGTCATTCAGATCTGGTTTTGTCTGAACAGGACTTACGTGGACGTGGCTGCAGGAGCTGCTGACGACGAGACGCTGTTTACATCAATAAAAACACACACAGATGATATTAGAGACTCCAGCTTTCCTCTGACTGGAGATCAGAGCTCACACATTAAACAGACTCACGTCACAGACGACGGAGGAGTCGATGGAGCCGCTCCGTCGCTGCTGCTCTTAGCGATTCTGTTCAAAACATTAAAAACTCAAATCAAACTGAAACTATACGTGTAACATCTCATACTTGAGTTGATGGAATTAATTAAAACAAAAAATGTAACCATATTACAAAATACAAACAAAGCGTAACATTTACTAAAAAAGACGGAATATTTTATTTGTTTACCTGAACGTCACGTGAACGGTAACTGACATCAGAGAAATGTGATGTTTAATTGTGAATGCAAATTTGTTGTTGAATTACTGAAATATTTTTGCATATATTTTTATATTTTTGCATTTTCTGTTTAACTTTGGGTTTTATGTTGTATGTTTTTGTCATTTTAAGTAGTTATATAATATATATATATACAGTATATGCATGCACACAAATATATATATATATATATATATACGGACCTGACTGTATATATATCATTTTAGTAGTTATATAGATATATTATATATATATACTGTATATATATGCACACACACAAATATATATACGGACCTGACTGTATATATATCATTTTAGTAGTTATATAGATATATTATATATATATACTGTATATATATGCACACACACAAATATATATACGGACCTGACTGTATATATATCATTTTAGTAGTTATATGCATGTCTATATAGTTTTTTTTCTATTTAATTTTGTATTTTATGTTGTGTGTTTTTGTCACTTTTAGTAGTTTTGTCTATATAGTTTTTAGTAATTTTTATTTCCGTTTTAGTTATTTTAGTACAAAAAGATCAACTAAATTAAAATGAGAAATGCTGCATTTGAAACTAGCTGAAATAATTAAGTTTATTTCAGTTAGCATTTATTGTAAGTAAAGAATTATGTTAATGGTTTGAAATGAAGTTGAATGGCAGAACACACTCGACTCACCCGTCAGTATTCTGAGACGCGGTGACCTCCGGAAGCTTCTCAGCAAACGCTCGTTTAACAGGACTTGACCTGCACACACAAACATGAGCAGAAAGCAACTCAACTAACACTCCTGTGTTAAAGGATTAGTTCACTTTAAAAATGTATTCACCCTCCTGCATGAGTTTCTTTCTTCTGCGGGACACAAACGAAGATTTTTTTTTTTTTTTAAGTCAGTTGGGGAGCAACTAGTTACATGTAACGGAATTACATATTTAATTACAAAAAATGTAACTGTAATCAGTTACTGAGAAAAATTTGTAATTAAATTACAGTTACTTATGAAATTTTTAAAGATGACAAACGGGGGCTACATCTAATTTTTTTTCACAAACACACAGATTTAATTGATTCTGAGACTGCTCTAAAATATGAGACCCCAATGTTTCAGGAGTTTAGGACACATGCTTATTCCATAACTGTATATTTGGGTTTATGTATATGCTTTATTTTTTTAAGATTAACTGTTAGATGCCAGTGTTTCTATGCAAGATTAAATTTCAAAAACAGTATCATAGTTATTAAACTATACTTTAAATCTGCATTTAACCTCAGAACGATCTCAAAGTTAAAAAAGGAGCTAAAGTCTGATTTTGTGGTGGCTGTGCTTTAAATTCAATTATTATAATCTTAATTCAAATGATGAAGGATTCTGAGAGTAACCAGAGCACTACTGTAAGGTTAACCCGGCCTGCTTTACATGTTTCAAAACGTTTAACATTTGTTAGAAATTTAAAAGTGATCAAATGTAATCAGTTACACTACTTTAATAAAGTATTTGAAATGGTTACATTACTTGTTACATTTCAAATAGGGTAGCTTGTAAACTGTAACCTGATACATTTTAAAAGTAACATTCCGAACTCTGAAAATGTTGGTATCCAAACAGCTGATGAGCACCATTGACTTCCAAAGCAGGAAAAAAAACTACTACGGAAAAATATCTTCGTTTGTGTTCAACAGAAGAAAGAAACTCATACATGAGTGGTGAGTAAACGATGGCAGAATTTTCATCCTGAGAGTGAGCTACTGCTTTAAGCCCTAAGCAGTGCTCTAGTTGACTTACGGTTTGCTGCTGGTGTTTGCTCCGGAGAACACCCTCGCTGTGAAGCTGGAGCCGCTGGGAGTCTTGAGCGCCGGATTCCTGCAACAGAGCGAGTCACACGCTTAACAGACTCACACACTAAACCTCAGCATGTTCTGTGTGCTGCAGCGGCTCTCACTTGACAGGGAGCGGAGGTTTGGAGGGCGATGAGATGGAGACGGCTCCGCTCTTAGTGCTCGTGATGCTGCGGATGACAGAAGAGTCAGACCTCGGAGAATCTGAGTCACCAGAAACAAACCAACACAAACCAACCTGCTTTTGTTGAGCAGCTCCTGACTGCCACCGAATCTACAACGAGAAACAAATCATTCAACATCATACACTACCAGTCAAACGTTTTTGAGCACGTAAGATTTTAAATGGCTTTTAAAGAAGTCTCTTCTGCTCACCAAGCCTGCATTTATTTGATCTAAAGTACAGCAGTAATATTGTGAAATATTTTTACTATTTAAAATAGCTGTTTTCTGTGTGAATCTCTGTTAAACTGTGATGTATTTCTGTGATGTGCAGCTGTATTTTCAGCATCATTCCTCCAGTCTTCAGCGTCACATGATCTTCAGAAATCAGTATAATATGCTGCTCAAAAAACATTATTATTATTATCAATATTTAAAAAAATATTTAATATAAACAAACAAAAAAAGTAAATTCTTTTCAGGATTCTTTGATGAATAGAAAGATCCAGAGATCAGCATTTATCTGAAATAAAAAGCTTTTGTAACATTATACACTCTACCACTCAAAAACGGAGTCGGTATCATTTTGGGAAAGAAATTCTAGAAATTAATACTTTTACTTAGCAAGGATGCTTTAAATGTATCAAAAGTGATCATGAAGGCTGCTCTTCTGAACTTTCTGTTCATCAAAGAAACCTGAAAAAACTCTACTCAGCTGTTTTCAACATAATAATAATAATCAGAAATGTTTCTCGAGCAGCAGATCAACATATTATACTGATTTCTGAAGATCATGTGACACTGAAGACTGCAGTAATGATGCTGAAAATACAGCTGCACATCACAGAAATACATTACAGTTTAACAGAGATTAAAGGGGTCATATGATGCGATTTCAATTGTTCCTTTCTCTTTGGAGTGTTACAAGCTCTTGGTGCATAAAGAAGATCTGTAAAGTTGCAAAGACTAAAGTCTCAAATCCAAAGAGATATTCTTTATAAACGTAAAAAGACAGTATAAGTCATTATAATCAGTAATTATGTCTCCACTGGATGCAACGAATGCCTGGTTTATAATGGGTTTTAATGTGTTTGTCTCATCGCTCCGGCCGGACAGGGCAGCACAGTATGGTGAGGGGCGTAACATTTCCGTCACACGCTTGAGGTATTCGGCCAATCACAACGCACTGGATAGCTGGCCAATCACAGCACACCTCGCTTTCAGACCGATGAGCTTTGTAAAAATCGACGCATTTCAGAAAGACGGGGCATAGAGGAGCAACAATAATGTACAGTATGTGCAAAATAATGTGTTTTTTTTACTTTAAACCGCATAAACACATTTCATTACACCAAATACACAAAATAATGTTCTTTTTAGCAACATCATATGACCCCTTTAACATAGAAAGCGGTTATTTTAAATAGTAAAAAATATTTCAAAATTGTACTGTTTTTGCTGTACTTTGGGTAAAATAAATGCAGGCTTGGTGAGCAGAAGAGACGTCTTTCAAAATATGAAAAATCTTACTGTTCAAAAGCTTTTGACTGGTAGTGTATATACAGCAGAAATACATATAGATGATGATATATTGATAGTGCACCTCTTGGTTAAGGAGCTGACGGACGTCCCAGAGTTGGCAGAGGTTTGATCGTCCTCCAGCGGTTTGCTGAAGTCACACAGAACATGATTTGAATTATTATGAAAATCAGCAGCTGATATGATTCTGAGTGAAATTATTCTGACCTGTCAACATCATTCCCTGATTTCCGCTGACCCAGAACAACTTTACCAGGGTTAGGATCATAACTGCAACAGAAGCATTGGGAATTAGTATTAGGAGCATTTCATCACATGTGTGTGTGTGTGTGTGTGTGAGAGAGAGTGTGAGTGAGTGAGTGTGAGTGAGTGAGTGAGTGAGTGTGTGTGAGAGAGTGTATGTGTGTGTGTGTGTGAGAGAGAGAGAGAGAGTGTGAGTGAGTGAGTGTGAGTGAGTGAGTGAGTGAGTGTGTGTGAGAGAGTGTATGTGTGTGTGTGTGTGAGAGAGAGAGAGAGAGTGTGAGTGAGTGAGTGAGTGAGTGAGTGAGTGAGTGAGTGAGTGAGTGAGTGAGTGAGTGAGTGAGTGAGTGAGTGAGTGAGTGAGTGAGTGAGTGAGTGAGTGAGTGAGTGAGTGAGTGAGTGAGTGAGTGAGTGAGTGAGTGAGTGAGTGAGTGAGTGAGTGAGTGAGTGCCAGCATAAATTAAAGGCAATAAAAAAAAATTAGTTTACCATTTACTATAACTTTTTTCACATTACTGTAATATTTCAGGAGGACATATGGAAATAATGATGTTATATTATAACATTAGATGTTATAATGCACACAATATTCATTTTAATAAAGTGCAGATCTTACCGGATTTGGTCTGTATGCTCATGTTGAGTTATAGATGTGAATCCAGATGGCAGAGTTCTGAAATCAAGCGTCTGTGGTTATAAAGTTGAACGACAGTAATTCCTCTCATTTGACTAACACACACACAATGCGCAGGTGTTTGCGTGTCGATGTGGAGAGAGAGAGTGTGAGTGAATGAGTGTGAGTGAGTGAGTGAGTGAGCGTGAGTGAGTGTGTGTGAGTGAGTGTGTGTGTGAGAGGGAGTGAGTGAGTGAGTGAGCGTGAGTGAGTGTGTGTGAGAGTGAGTGAGTGAGTGAGCGTGAGTGAGTGTGTGTGAGAGTGAGTGAGTGAGTGAGCGTGAGTGAGTGTGTGTGAGAGTGAGTGAGTGAGTGAGCGTGAGTGAGTGTGTGTGAGAGTGAGTGAGTGAGTGAGCGTGAGTGAGTGTGTGTGAGAGTGAGTGAGTGAGTGAGCGTGAGTGAGTGTGTGTGAGAGTGAGTGAGTGAGTGAGCGTGAGTGAGTGTGTGTGAGAGTGAGTGAGTGAGTGAGCGTGAGTGAGTGTGTGTGAGAGTGAGTGAGTGAGTGAGCGTGAGTGAGTGTGTGTGAGAGTGAGTGAGTGAGTGAGCGTGAGTGAGTGTGTGTGAGAGTGAGTGAGTGAGTGAGCGTGAGTGAGTGTGTGTGAGAGTGAGTGAGTGAGTGAGCGTGAGTGAGTGTGTGTGAGAGTGAGTGAGTGAGTGAGCGTGAGTGAGTGTGTGTGAGAGTGAGTGAGTGAGTGAGCGTGAGTGAGTGTGTGTGAGAGTGAGTGAGTGAGTGAGCGTGAGTGAGTGTGTGTGAGAGTGAGTGAGTGAGTGAGTGTGTGATCGTCCTCCAGCGGTTTGCTGAAGTCACACAGAACATGATTTGAATTATGAAAATCGGCAGTTGATATGATTCTGAGTGATATTATTCTGACCTGTCAACATCATTCCCTGATTTCCGCTGACCCAGAACAACTTTACCAGGGTTAGGATCATAACTGCAACAGAAGCATTGGGAATTAGTATTAGGAGCATTTCATCACATGTGTGTGTGTGTGTGTGTGTGAGAGAGAGTGTGAGTGAGTGAGTGTGAGTGAGTGAGTGAGTGTGTGTGAGAGAGTGTATGTGTGTGTGTGTGAGAGAGAGAGAGAGAGTGTGAGTTAGGATCATAACTGCAACAGAAGCATTGGGAATTAGTATTAGGAGCATTTCATCACGTGTGTGTGTATGTGTGTGTGTGTGAGAGAGAGAGTGTGAGTGAGTGAGTGAGTGTGTGTGAGAGAGTGTATGTGTGTGCGTGTGTGTGAGAGAGAGAGTGAGTGAGTGAGTGTGAGTGAGTGTGTGAGAGTGAGTGAGTGAGTGTGTGTGAGTGAGTGTGTGTGT